AAAAAGAAATCCCCCCCCCCCCCCCCCAATTTAACAATGGCTAAGAAATCCCTCGATAAATTATTAGCGAGGATTTCACTGTCAGATTTTTCGACGGATCGATTCCGTCGGTAAAGACTGTTAGCTACAGAATTTAAGGCATCAACGTGGAAATTTTCGTCTCAGAAGCCACTCTTTTTTGTAGTGTTTGATATCAAAGGGGAGCAAGATTAGAAGAAGAAAAATAGTGATGTTGTGGAGGAGACAGGGTATTGGATTAAGTTGAGGTCTATTGCCAGCTGCATGAGTTCAAGATCAAGCTCTGCAGATGCCAGTTCTTTCTTTAAATACAGGAAAACACCAATAAAACTTTGTGTTGTGAAAAAACATTTTTTCTTTATACCCTGGTCTTCAATTGACACTTATTGATATGATATGTAAATCGATTGAAAGTTCGACTCTATCTCAAGTACTCACTTTCAAATGATATCCACATTGTTCACAAATATTTGTTTCTTATTTCAAAATTTTCTTATAATTTAGTCAATAATAATTTCCATATTGAACCAAATTTATACCCATTATAAACACTTTCCAAACATGCTTTAATGCACATAGGCATCATTATCATATTCTACTCTAGCAATATCAAACTAATGGCTCAAACTTCGACAAAATATTATTACCATCATATATACTGTGTTTAACAGCAAAGTTCAAAGTTGGAAAATGATTTGGGAGAGTGATTACCTCAATCCTTCCTTGAAGGATTAGTCTAGCCATGAGAATCTCAGCAAATACACATCCAACACTCCAATGGTCCATAGAAGCTCCATAATCTGTCGAGCCCAACAAAAGCTCAGGAGGATGATACCATAAAGTAACTACAATCGTAAAAGGTTGCTTTTGCCTGTAAATACCAAAATGGGTCACCTTTAGAATTCCTACATTATTTACAAGAAGAATTGCTCCTTTAATATCTCAATTCAATACCCCACGAGAATGACAATGAAGCTGAATTAAGAGCACTTATTGAAGGTTTAAAACTATGTCGTGAGTAGGGTGTAAACCATATTGACATCGAGTGTGATTCATTGTTGGTGGTTTCATGGACTTCATCTTTGAAGTGCTCCTTGTGGTATCTATCGGACTTTTGGGATAATCTTTTGAATTTATTACAGCAAGTTGAATATTAGGTGGCACATCAATGGAGAGAGGGGAACCAAGTGACAGATTATTTAGCTCGATTAGAAGCTAAAGGCCTATCGGGATGTTTCAATACCTGGATTGACTTACCAAGGATTGCTCGAGGGTTACTTTGTCGGGATATGATGGGGGTGGCATATTGGAGGAAGTGAGATGTTGAACAGGTTAGGGTAGTGGCGTCTGTTGTGATTGAAGGTGATTTAGTTCACATGTTTTGATATAGTGTCGTTTGAGTCTATTATCACAGTTTTCCTCTACCACAAGTGAGGGATTTTTAATAATGTATTATGTAAAAAAAAAAAAAAGAAGAAGAAGGGGAAAAAAAAAACAGTGAGAATGACAATGCTCAAGATCCAACAATAACTGTTTCATCTACCATTTAACCTGTAAAATGAGCTAATTATATCTTATTACATGAATAAACAAAAGTTCACTAATTCTCGAGAAGCAATGAGAAAAAAAAATACACCTCTTATCATTTTCAGTGAATCGTCACAGCCTCCGTTCAAACTTTATATCCAACCACACATTTCAATGAACTCACAAGTATTATTCACTTATCCATTCTTCATTTTTATTTATTTATAAATTAAAGTTTGTATAAATTCTTCCCAAAACGGAGGCTTTGTTATGCACATAACAACTCTCCAAGACTTCGCAAATATCCTCTCCTTTTTTCCATGTGGAAAATTTTAATTTTACACCGTAATGCTTCAATATATTACAGTATCTTCATTTTTCATTTCCAGAGTCATCTAAACCATGTAAGGTGCACGTCACCCTTGTAATCAAATTAGTTTGTTCAAATCCATTGTGCTCACCGAAAGAAAAGTATATCCTTTCACATAAATATCCAAACCTGTTCTTCACTGAACTTGATGTCTGGGCAAGATAATAACCCTAAGATATCATGTTCCATGAACTCAAACATCAGATATATGCTGCATGATAATCGGTAGGTAATTAATCCTTCCAAGTTTGTAATATTTGGATGGTCAATCTGGCAAAAAATCAATGTTTCTTTAGCCATGAAACGAACACTTTTTGGCTAAAAATAGTCAAATCGTATTGTTTCTAGAGTTTGAAGTTACTCCTTCGAAAATAATCCGATAAAATCATCTGAATGTAAGAAATGATCAACAGGATCCAAAATGTAATTCGAGCCCACCGACTGCACGATATTTCCTTAAAACGAATCTGCTGCCTTCAATGGTGCTAAAGGCATCCAACAATCGTTTCTCAGGATAGAACGAATTTTCGTCTCATACGGAAGCAGCACTGCAATCTGCAAGAGTTCCAACGAACTCAACGAAGTGTGTTTGACTTCGAAACAATATCAAAACGAGAGAGAGGGAAATAAGATTCAAAGCACCGAAAATTTGCAATGAAAATAGCGTAAATTTTTTGATAGAGAGGCAGGCTATTTATAGACTTGTTCGTGGCCATTCGAACAGTCGTCACCTTTCAGACAAACCTCAAAAATTTGGAACAGACATGTTGTTCTAAAAGTCGCGTTTGTTAAGTCGGTTAACAGTCGACTATTTGGTCGGTTAACAGACGACTGTTAAACAATCCATCCAAACCAAAAAATCACCCGGAATAAGCCAAAATTTTAAATTTCATAATGTACCCAAGAATTTGATTATTTACAATTTGATCCAAAATTTTATATAAATTTTGTCCAAAAAGTTAATATAGTGCAAGCACGTGCCCGTGCCCGTGCCCTAGTCGCCAGTCGGACGGATGATGGCGGCGGTGGCGCGCGCGTGTGGGTTTATGACCGAACCCAATAGGATATAGGTCTTCCTTTTCAAAAACTATCAGTATCCCTTGGGGCCCAAACCTAATTCCCAAACTTCCACCTTATAAACCACACCAAAGTTTCCTAACTTTCCTATGTTAGATAAGTGTTTGGAAAATCAAATTTTTCCATAATACTTAATTTATGTAGGTTATTTTAACACTTAATATTTCATTCAATTTTAAATGGTTTCGACAAATAAATATATCACGTTAAAAGTCTCGTGGAGTAGAACGTGAATATGCTAGGTCTCGTATTAATTAAAAGGTGGGTTCTACTGAAATTTGGGCTCAAATTTGACCATTTCATAACCATTTTTTCCAGCAAATCGCACCTTCTTCAAAGCAACTATTTTCCCACTTTCTATATCATGCACTCGGAATACAGAGAATGTGTACCCTGACCAATCTGTTAAAAAGATAAAACCAAATAACGATAACGTGTTTATCGGTCGACATGCAGATAAAAA